GCCACTGCTGGGGAGCATGTCCAGGTACCATGACGAGAGCATGTCTCTGGATGAGGCTTTTGGAGCCTGGCAGGGGCAGGTTTAGTTTATGGCAGCTGATGGACACCCTAGCACAGGATGTGACGAAGCCAAGTAGACCATGTGGAGGGCTCTCCATCCCCAGCCTCTTCTTCTGAGCTGGGAAGAAACACCTGTAGGAAACTTGTTCCTGCCAGCCATGGGCCACATGGCCGGGTAGGTGAGCCCCACACAGCTCAGTCTTCATGCTTGGAGACCCAACTCTGGAGATCCACAGAGGTCTCCTTTTAGAATCATATCCCAGACTGGTTTGGGTTGGAAGGACCTCAGAGCTCATCCAGTTCCAACCCCCTGCCATAGACAGGGACACCTTCCACTAGACCAGGTTGCTCCAAGCCCTGTTCAAGCTGGCCTTGAACACTGCCAGGGATGGGGCACCCACAGCTTCCCTGGGCACCCTGAGCTAGGGCCTCACCATCCTCACAGGGAAGAACTTCCTTGTATCCAACCTAAATCTCCCCTGTTCAAGTGTAAACCCATCATGCCTTGTCCTGTCGCTACAGTCCCTCTCCACCATTCTTGTAGGCTCTCTTCAGACACTGAAAGGCTGCTGCGAGCTTTCTGTGCAGCTTCTTTTCTCCAGGAACAAGTCTCAGTCTGTCTCCAGGAGCAAGGCTTCCTGATGGGTATTCCTGGGAAATCTTGGTGGGATTCCTGAGCAAAGACCTGTGGCTAGATCCAGCACCCAGTGGGGAATCCATTACTTCCACAAGCTGCTTCTCTCAAGCCAGGGTGCTTGATCTGTTAGAGCTTCAGAGGCCCGTTTGGTCTGCATGTGCTCAGCCGTAACCTGGTTTTGTCGTCTTTGTTATTGCAGGAGTCATCTCCGTGAAAATGACAGCCCCAGCTCAGGTAAAGGGTTATGGGGGGCATGTGATGTTCTGGGTGCCTGGTGGGTGTCTTTGCTTTACTTACCTTGGTCCCTGTTAGACAAGGGTAGCACAAACCTGACCAGATCTCACAAGGCAACGTTGCTAACCCTAAAGCAGGTCAAGATGGTGTTGACAGCTAAAGCAGTGTGGGCCACTGCACACCTGCTGCTCCAGGACCTGCATAGAGAAAGGAGAGAGTTTCTAGAAGCAAAGAAAATGCAGAATTTTGTGTTTCACCAGGTTTCATTGCACAAGGCAATCGTGCAGCAGAGTAAAAGCTGTTGCAAGGGAGGCTTGCCTGAGTTAAGGTGTCTTCTCCACTGATGTTCATGTGTTCTTGTTCCAGGGTCATCCATCTCTCAGCTGATTGATGCCGTAAGACAAAACTGTCTGGACGATTTGAAGGGAAGTGCTGAGGAATGCTTGGATTTAGGGGTGCCCAAGATGATGCTGGCAACGGGGAAGGACGAGGTTCCCGTCACACAGTGGGAGGCAGCGCGCAAGCAAGAGGTGAGTCTGGCTGCTGTGACACCTGAGGCAGCGCTGTGACAGCCCGTGGTGCTTGGAAGGGTGAGAGGAGGGCAGAGCTGGGGGGTTGCTGAGCAGAGAGGTGGGCTCAGCTGCCAGTTACGGGTGGGCTCCTGCATCCCAAGTGTGCTGCCCAGAGAGAACCATGCAGAGTGTCTCATTTCAGCAGGGCGAGGACACCTTCATGGTCCCGGCCAATATCCTGGTGGTCCCTCCTGAGGAGGAGGCAGCTGCTTGTGATTCTTCCAGGCCAGGTCAGTGCAGTGGCTTCCTTTGCAGGGTTTGTGAGTGGGCAGTTCAGTGGGGAGATGACTGCCTTTCCTCTGGCTCTGGGATGTGACCATCAATGTCCTTCTCATTGCAGAGACAAGTGAAGCAACTCCCAGGGAGAGTGACGATGGCAGGATGGGGCTGACTGAGCTGAATGTCATATCCCAACCCAGCTGTGAGTAGGGAGACCTCCCCATCCCATCCAGTCTCTTTGTAGTTTCCTCTGCAGTTAGCGCAGCCCATTTTCTCCTTGGATTGAGCAGAGGAGGTACTGGCATGGCCAGGTCTTTGGCAGACCAGGATTCACAGCCCTGCATTGAGCAGGCAGAGAATGATCCCGTTCCTGCAGCCTCCTGAGCTGAGCAGCTTCGGTTTGTTGTGCTGTGAACATGAGTGATTTTGTCCCTTTGATGCCATCACAAGAGGACAAGTCTCCTGCCCAAGTGCAGGAGCTTGATTTGTCACCAGGACAGGCTTGTGTCACCAAGCTTTGCTGCAGAAGGACCTGCAGGAGCTCATGCACAGTTCTTTGTAGCCACCACAGGGCTGGGAGTGGACCAAGATCAAATTTCTTTGCTAAAGTCAACCCCCAGCTTCATCATTGCAGCTGTTGCATCAACGGCCTTGTCAGAGAGCCCGGAGGAATCTGTGGACACCCCCTGGGACGTGCTTCCCCCAGTATGTTTAACCATGAGCTCTTCGGATGGTAAGTCTCCATGCCGCCCAGCCTACCCTGCTGGCCCGAGACAGCACCTCTCACTGGGTGACTCATCCTGGATGCAGCTCATCCTGGGTGCTGCCTTGCTTTCTCTGGCTAAAAAGTAGTGCTGTAGTGTTCCCATTGGCCTGTGCTTGCATCCTTGCGCTCCAGTGTTCTCCTGCCCAAGCTGACCACACATTTACTTTTTACCAGAGAATACACTTTCACAAGGCTCTCCATTGAAGACCAAGGAAGATGTGGCTGCTGACAGCAACACCCCGGACTCACTGGAGCTGTGTAGCCAGGACTCCTCTGAGGGCAGGTCACTGGGAGTGCCAGTGCAGACCTCCTCTCCTCTGCTCGGCAACTATGGCAATGCCAGTCTGGTGGAGACCAGCACCTCACAGGCACTGTCAGCCATGGAGGCAGCTTGTGATGCCCCCAGTACTGCCCAAGGACTGCAGGTTTTGGGGAGCTCTAAGGCAACACCAGCAACTCCTCCAGTTACTCCCATCTTGCCCAGGAGCAGGTTGCAAGCCCTGCCCAGAGGGATGCCTCACCAGGAGCAGGCAGACTCTGCTTTCCCTCCAGATACATTGGAGCATGGTCTGGATTGTATCAGGTTCCTGGGAGGAGGTGCTATGGGTGCCAGGAGGAAGCGGCTGGAAAGAGATGGCCAAACACAGCCGGCCCACCGTGAGCAGCAGCATCCCCGAGGTGCCCCTCGGGGCAAGAAGAGAGGGATGGGCAGTAGGCTGAAGCCCGTGAGCACACAGCGTGCTAAGAAGAGCAGAAAAGAGGAGACAGGGCTGCAGCAGGGAAAGGAGCTCTCTGAGGAGGAGGAGGAGGAAGCAGCTGTAGTGAGTGGCCCCAGCTCCCAGGCAGAGCAGCGCAAAGCTTTGGAGCCGGTAAAGATGAGGTGGGGTTCCCTGGGGAGGTTCTCTGGGTCCCCCCTATTGCTGGGGTCCATCCCCAAAGGCCTTTCCTCACTTGGCTGTTGGGGATGGGGAGTTAAAGGTGGGTATTGCCAATACGTGGTGGCCACAACCCTATGGAAGGAGGATGTGAGGCAGTGGGTGAATGTGATTGAGCCCAAGCTGGGTGAAATCGAACACTGGCTGGAGGATCTTCCAGCTATCTGGGTGAAATAAGATTGGAAGAGCAGGAAATGATTAAGGGAGAGGCTCCAGGGTTTACCTGGGATCTGGGGTTGTGCTCTGGGCTTTGTGACAAACCTCACCCTCCCCTTCACTCCTGCAGTACAAGAAGAAGCCACCCCAGTACGAGTACGAGGCACCAAGCCCTGAGCTGTGCGAGCAGATAAGATCTGTCAGGTCAGTGACATGCCTTGTGTGGCCATCCCTTGTTCCCACCACGGCTGGTCCCATGACATGCGGGCAGTGCCACTTGTATCCTTTTGGCAGGTCCCCACATTCTGCCTTACCCTTTGTTGCTGTGCTGCCCTGGTGTGTGGTGGCATGTCCCCAGCCAGGTCCCTTCTCACCCTGGCTCCCCTGCTGTGGTTTCACAGGATCTCAAATGCGTTGCTGAAGTGGGCTTGCTGGATGCTGATGGAGGAGGACGTGGATTCCTGAGCCCAGCCTGTCCTTCCTTTCTTCACTGGTTTAAGTTAAGGCTGCTAACTTGAGGAGCAATTGGAGGAAGGATGGAGGAACAACAGGACCCCTGTCCCCAAGGGGACCACTGAGTGGGTTGGCCTGACTGTAGAGACTCTGGCTGTAATGGTTCTGGGGCCATGGCCTGTCACAGACCAGCACCCTCAGTGCTGAAGAATAGGGGAAAGCATCCATTCAGGGGTGCTGGCTCCCCTCTCCCACTTCACCCTCTCTCCGTCCTTTCAGAACTCCCTGGCACAGCGGATGGGGATAAGTGGTGACACAGTGCCACTGCAGCAGGGCTGTGTTTGTCAGCCCTGCTATCTGATCCCTGCTCCGAAGGCAGCAAGGGAGTTTGGATGTGTTACTGGTTGGCTTCCCTAGGATCCTGCACTGTTCATTACAAAAAATACCCCAAAGGGTTATGCTGTAGAAATGAAAAATAAAAATTGTATATTTTTTAAATACACAGCTCTTGTATTAAAAAAAAGGCAAAATAACCCCAAACAAATAAACAAAAAAGAAGCATCTTTCTGCTTTGTCGTAAACATCTGTGTAAGGAATGCATTTGGTCCAGAGCGGAGGTGAACGCAGGAGAAAGCTGTTTGGGTGGTGGGATATTGCTGGTGCCATTGGAGAGCTGTGGGGCTGGCGCTGGGCTGCATGCTGGAATGCTGTGGGTCATGGTCCCGCCGATGGAAACCTGCTTCTTAAGGGGCTGGTACCTGGTGGGGTTGGGGCTGTGGTGGTGAAAGGGCCCTGATAATGCGTGCTCAGAGTGGCTGCATCCTAAACCCACCAGCTACCCCTGCAGCGGCAGAGGAGGCCATCTGCGTAGGTGTTGTGCTCAGAGCATCCTGAGGGCTCTGGCACGGTCCCTGGGCATCCCTGTCCTCATGGGTGATGTCCATCCCTGCAGCAGAAGGTGAAGTGATGCTGTCGTTGCCCTGGTATGGAGCATTCCTGTGCCGCAGCTGCCAATCCCCTGGCACAGGAGTTCCTTGCAGGGTTTTCTTGGGAACAGCGCAGTAGCATGCAGGGGCTTCACTGTCCCAGGGCTGGCTGCCCCCGGCCTGGTCTTTGGTCTGCAGCTGCTGAGTCTCGTCCATTCCCAACAGTTTGTGGCCGCTCGCCGGCAGTGCCTGCTCCAGCCTGCAGCTGCTCTAGGCCGGCATGGGGCCAGTCCTGCAGTGCGGCCCCTACGGAGGGTGCTGGTGTGAGTGCAGAGGAACCCTCCGTACCCCAAACCTTGCGAGCGAGGGGAGCATCTTATCTCACCTGCAGCATCGAAGGACACTCTGGGCTCTCCATCCGGCTCCGGGAGGGACTCATGCTTGGTTTTCCGTCTGAGCACAGGCGACCGCCACAGGCGCAGGGGGACCGTGCCCACTGGGAGAGACACAACCCAGCCCCACGTTATGGTTACCCAGCCCCATTGCTTGACTCCTTCCCCCTTTCTGCCTGTGAGCTCAGGCAGCCAGGCTGCTGCAGGAGCCAGTCCCAATGCCAAGTCTCCCATGTGATCTTCCCAGTGCAATGATGTCGTCATCCATCACCCCAGCACCGTGGATGCCCACCCATGAGCTGGGACAGGCAGCACCACCAGGCAAAAGAATGCCACCGAGCCAGCACCTCCCTCCTCTGGGGTGCTTGTGGTCCCACTCCAGCCCCCACTTACTTCCCAGCTCCGCTGGGCACTCAGGCCTCCTGAGCTGCTCCTCATGAATGGACACAGCCCGGCGACCGATCCCCCGTGGCACTGCCAGCCGTGGTGTCAACTGGTTGTCTGAGAAGCAGTGGGAATGGGGAGCCTGCAGCACCCCAACCTCACTGGCAGACCTCTCTACACCCAGTGCTGGGTCCCTGTTGCCATCATTCCCAAGGAACAGGCCAGCAGTGGATGAAGGCCCCCATGGGCTCATACATCCTTACCTTCAGTGTCAGGCGTTGTGGGCAGGGGGCTGCTGGCGCCTGGCTCCCCGCCGTGGCCGACCCTGCATGGCAAGGCCACCGGCACACTCCGGCCCAGCCGTGGCAGGCTGCTGCTCCAGACCTCCCGGGGCCCCGGCTCTGGCACCGTGCTGGGGTCGGCCAGGACGAGGGAATGCCGGGGCTGCTGGAAGCTGCTGATGCCCTGCGGCTCGGTGGGAAGCAGCTTCCCAAGGGATCTCCAGGCTGGCTGGGGCTCCACCATGGCAGCAGGGCTGCGGAAGGGTGTGTCTGTGGGGGGGACAGAGCCACGGGTAAGGATAGAACCATGGAATAAGTGAGGTTGGAAAAGGCCTTCAAGATCACCCATCTTGATCGACTGCTCCCCAGCACTGCCACTGAACCATGGCAGTAAGGGCCTCATCTACACGGTGTGTGAACGCTTCCAGGGATGGTGACTCCACCACTGCCCTGGGCAGCCTGTTCCAATGCCTGAGCACCCTCTGGGGAAGAAACTGTCCCTGCCATCCAGTCTAACCCACCCCTGGTGCAGCTTGGGGCCGTTTCCTCTTGTCCCATCCCTTGTTCCTTGGGACCAGAGACCAGCCACCTCCTGGCTCCATCCTCCCATCGGGCAGTTGTAGAGAGCAATAAGGGTCCCCCTGAGCCTTCTCCACTCCACTGCCCTTCTCTGGACCCAGTCCAGCACCTCAGTGTCTCTTGTAGTGAGGGCCCAGAACTGAACACAGGACTTGAGACTCCTGGGGATGGGACCATCCCATGTGCTGGGAACCAGTCTGCAGCCACTCCAGGGACTGTTTCCACCCACCATCACCAGCACTGGGCATTGTCCCAGGGGTGGGTCCCTGCCCAAATGCCCACCACGCCTGTGCTCAGCAGTCCCCATTAGCACTCCTTGGTGCCAGCAGAAGGGACAGACCCCTCTGCTCTGGGGGCTGGTGTGACCGTCCCGAACCCCCTCCAGTGACCTACCTGTGGACACAGAGTGCGTGCGGACCTTCAGGGATGGCGGTGATTCTGCAGAGCTGTCCACAATATCCCCTGCACGCACAAAACACAAGCCAGCATCAGTGACCTGGGTCTGCTCCATGCCACCAGCACCCAGTGAGGGGGAGATGTGGCGGGGCCCACAGCTGGGTGCCCAAGGGGACATGCCCATGCCCATCCATGGGTGCCTTGGGGGGGAGGATGCAGCTCCTCACCATCAGAGCCAGCTTTCTTGATCTCGCTGTCTTTGCTCTGCAAGGGGAAAGAAACCTGGTGAGGAGGGGGTCAGGGTGGCATTACTCTCAGGGATGATGGATGCAGAGGGCAGTGCTCTGGGGTGGCTGCAGGGGATGGGTGCGCACGGGGAAGGAGGGACAGACAGACACCATGCAGTGCACTGCAGTCCGTATTTCGTTCCCCTTGGAGAGGGTTATGTGTCAGGAGAGAGGGCACGGGCAGCAGTGGCACAGGCACCCCCCACCCCATGGACCACCACCTCGGGTGCAGGATGTGTCCTCTACTTACCTGCTGCTTCTTGCCCTCGGCAGCCTGGCCCTTGGTGATGCCGATGCGGTGCAGCATGACCTGCACACGCTGCTCGAAGGAGCCGGGCAGCTCCACATCGCTCTTCTCCAGCTGCCTCTTCTGCAGGACACACATCCCCCTGCCAGGGGCACGGCACCCACCACAGCATCCCCCCGGTCCCCAGCCCCAGCTGTACCCCTGGGTGATGGAGGCATGGCCGCAACCCAGCCACCACTCTGCTGTCCCCATGTGCTGCCTGTGCCTGGCAGACCCCACCGCGAGCCCCCTCGGTGGGAGCAGCAGCGGTCGCTCGGTGGCGGCGCTTACCTTGTCCTGCCTGACTCCCAGTGCGTCCTCATCCTCCCCGGGCAGCAGTATGAGTGACTGGGATTTGCCCTCCCGTGAGTACTTGAGCCGGATCCTGCGGGCAGAGCCGGGGGTCTGGCAGTGCTCAGGCTCTGCGCGGGGCTCGGCAGCGAGCTCCCCCTCCTCGGATCTGCTCAGGGGCTTCCCTGCCTCGCTCGCCTTGCTGGGCGGTCGTAAAATGTCACTGAGCACCGAGCGCCTGCTCCGGGGGGCGCCCTCGGGGTCCTTCTCGCACCTCGAGCCCCGGCTGGATTTGGGTTTCTTGAAGGCAAAAAAAATCCCGATTTTCTTCTTGAGGGTGCGGGAGCCGGAGGGAGCCGGCGGGGCCGACCCAGGGCAGGTCTCTGGAGCCGTGGGGCTGGGGGGAGATGGAGAATGTGGGAAAGGTGAGCTCTGGGCTGCATTTCCCTCCCCCATCCCCGCCCACCCTCAAGGGATGGATCTAGACCCTGGAAATCCCACCTGAGATGATGTTCCCAGCATGGGACCCTATAGGTGATGCCCCATTGCCTCCCCACTCTTACGGCAATGGGGTGCTGGACACATTCCCTACCCCATGGCTGCCCTCTCCCACCAGCCTTGCCCTCGGTAGTGCCCCTGAGTGTGATGTTTCCCCCAGTATCTCCTTGGCACTGGGACCATTTGCTGGGAAGGTGAAGGCAGGGGCCTTGCCCAAGCCCTGGGGTTGGGTGCAGGGCCCGGAGCACCCCCTGGGCTTACGGCAGGTCCCCTGTGATGAGTCTCTTGCCGAAGAAGTCCTCCAGCCCCTCATCCACGCGGGTGATGCTCCTGTCCTCGCTGTTCTCACAGGCCACGGGCTGCACCTAAGAGCAAGTGCAGCAGTCAGAGACCTCCACACATGAACACGTGTCACCCATGCCTGTGCGCTGACAAGTGGGTGCCCGTGCAGGAGGGGTGCTGGCGCCCTCCGTCTCACCATGGGTCCAGCATGAAAGCCAGACCATGGTGTTATCGGCTGCATCCCAAGTCTAATCATCCTACTGCATCCCTCGGGCATCAGGAGCTCCTGACAGCTGTTTGCCTTCTGATAGCCTGCTGCACCCTGCTGGGTGCCATGTGTAGGGTGCTGGTGGCTCCACACACATGTATGGCACCCCTACATGCTCAGGCACCCCTGTGCTACACACAGGAAAGGAGCCTCTGCCCCTCCTTGACACATGATGGCAAAACCTGCTGAAGCCCTCCTAGAGCTGGGCCAGGTCTCTGACCCCGCTGTTCCCATGGGAGAAGCCTTTGGCAAGGATGCTTTCTCAATCTGTGCTCCAAGCAAGGGACACGGATGCTGCTGGGGGATGATGGATCGTGTGACCTGTGTGGACCCACATCTGCATCCTTCAGGCTGGTGCTTATCCTCAAGTCCAACCTTGGAGTGCCAGCACCACCTGCATGAAGGCTACCCACTCCATCCCCATGGCAAAGCATGGGCCAAGCCTTCCACCCTGGCATGTGGCACTGCACTGGTGGCTCCCTATAGGTGAGATGGAAGTGCTCCATCACCGGTGGCATTTCAATCCATAACGACTTTTCATTATGGCTGGATTGATGCTGCTCAGGAGCTGTTCCAGCCGTCTGAGATCTGCTCTCCCTGTCACGTCACATCTGTCAAAGCCTGTCCTTGCTCAAGGCTTGCCCAAGCAAGAAACGGCTCTTGCCTCTCCTCCTGCCCTGTGGTTCCACCATTGTCCAAGGGCAAGCACTGCTGCAGCCATACAAGCCAGGGCTTTCCAATGGGTGGAAGGATCCAGCTGCATCATGGTGGCATAGTGACAAGGTAATGCCAGCAGGATCCAGCCCTGGGGACAGCAATGGAGTCGGACTCTCCACTGACTGCACCCAAAAGTTACTTTTCCTTAGGGAAGGGGGATGCAAAGGCAGGATCCCCAGTGCTCAGCCTTTGACTGGGGTGGGTATATCCCCCCTGCTGTGTCCTGCAGAGCCCCACATCAGCATCACCAGGAGCCATAGTGGCTGCTGGCACTTGAGAGACGATGGTTTTGGATGAGGGGGGAGCACATTAGGAGGAGAGCAGCATCTGAAGCCATTGCTGAAGGCACTGGCCCCTCTGCACCCAAACTCTGCGGCTTTCCATCCCTGCTGCCTCCACCAGCCGGCATCTCCCAGTGGGCAGCAGCAAAGGGGATGAAGGATTTCCCTCGCCCCCTCCCAGCTCCCTCTGCCCATGCTTTTGGACTCCCCCCTCCTCCAAGGAGGCACCGAAATGCAGGATAATAACCCAGCGGCAGCTTCCCGCTTCTCATTTCCCTGCCTTCCCACCAATACAGGCGGCAATAACCCACCCAACTGACAAAATAAAGGGGACCCCCCCCCCAGGAAAAACCCACCCTTACCAACGGTTTGCCCCCTGCTTACATTGGGCTTGCTGGGCGGCTGCTTGTGCCTGCGGTTGGGCCGGGGCCTGGCTTTGGTGCAGTGCTCCAGCTTCTGGCCGGCAGTGGGCAGGTCCATGAGGGCTCCGGCGGCGGTCGGCAGGTCCGTAAGGGATCCGGTGGCGGCGGGGACAGGCTGCGCGGAGGGGAGCGAGCCGCTCGCAGGCTCAGCATCCTTTGTGGAGGCAGGGCGTGCCGGCGCGGCGGGGCTGAGCGACGGCAGCGCCCGGTGAGCTCGGAGCCCGCTCGCGTCCCTGCCCGCCGCCGGCTCCAGCTCCGAGACACCTACGAAGGGCGAGAGGGTCCCGGTTGGCCGCCAGCCTCGCCGGGCCTCATCATCATCGCCATCGTCACCATCATCATCACCTTCACCCACCCGCGGAGGGTCAGCCTGGCCCCGGCTGTGCCGTGCGAGGGTGCGTAGCCGTAGCCGTAGCCGTAGCCGTACCCAACCAGAGCTTGCGTGGCTGCTCCCGGGACAGCAGCGTTGTGGCGCAGGCAGGGATGGATCCTGCTGCGGTCCCTGGAAGTGTGTGTGTGCATGGGATGCTGCGGGGATGAGGAGGAAGAGGGGGGATGCTGGGGGGATGAGGAGGGGGAATGCTGGGGGGGTGTGGGAAGGGAGATGCTCGGGCAGAAATCCCTGCAGCAAAGCAAGTAGCAGCTGTGTGGTGCGGGTACCATCAGTGCAGCCCCCACCAACACACAACCGTTTGCTCTGCAGGCAGCTCCTCATCCCCCCCAGCGGATGGGAGGCAGGATGCTGCTGGGTTGGGGACATCAGGGGACACCTGGGTGCCAGGCGTGGGGGTCCAGCGCAAGCTCTGCTTCAGCCAAAGCCAAACACACATCACAGGGAAAGCCCGTAGAAGCCAAAATTGCCCATCAGCTGCTCATTCCCTGTGCCCCCCTAAATCCTGCCCCCCAGGCACACAGGGCTCAATGGGGCAGCATCAGCAGCACCATCTCCTCCCTCGTGCTGGGTCCCAGGGTGCTGGGTGGCTCAGTGAAGCCCATGCTCAGGGTGATCCGTGATGCGCAGGGGGAGATGCCACAGACAAACCTCCCACCCCCTCCCTATGGGAGCTGACCCCCAAGACCAGCACAACAGCAGGTTCAAGGTGAGCTTTGCCTATGGACCCACACCACAGCACTGAGAGAGACTCTCTGGAGGGGACACAGTCCCTTTGCCAGGCACTGCCCACTGCCTGTAGCATCACCATGGCTCTGCCCATCACCATGGGGGCCTTGCCCATTGTCATGGGGCTCTGCTGGCCCCCTCTGCTCTGTCACACCCCATGGCCGTGGCACAGTACACCCCGTGCTGTGTCAGAGTGACCTTACTTCTTACGCTTGGCGTGGGCCGGATGCTCCTGAAATGCTTGGTTTTCCTCCGCAGGGCCATCTTGTACTGCAAGGAAAGAGGGGTGATGGTGGCTTCAGCACTGGCAAGCTGGCCATGGCAAGTGGCATCCCATGGCACAGCACACCAGAGCCACAGTGATGGGTGCAACCCCTCCATCACCCCCAGGGCTGCATCCCTTCATCTTGATCCAGCACTGAAACCACACATGATGCCAGATGTGTTGCTTTCCTGGTCAGAACCCTTTCCCAGGTTGGAACCCAGTTCCCAAAGCAACCAGAAAAGCCTGGACCACCACAAGGACATACTCCCAGTGGCAGCAGTGCAGGCAGTATGGGTGGGCTGGCCAGCAGCACCATTTCCCAGCACTAATTGCCTTGGCACTGCCCTAGGGGGTACCTGCAGCCCCGTTAAGCCTGGCATCATCCGTTAAGGCGGATAAGAGGCGGTTATAGCCAGGCATCATGCGATGGCAGCGGGGTCAGACCCTACCTCCTCTGCAGCAGGGTCAGGAGGATTCCTGCCCCTCGCCAGTGCCACGGCATCATCCTCAGCCAGCTCCGGCAGCAGCGCGGGGAGGTTGAGCCCCTGCCTGGGGAAGCTCTCCACCTAAAACCATTAGGAAGCGCTTCGGTTATCCCCAGCCGCCCTGCGTGCTTCGTGCAGCTCCATTCCCTGCCTGTGGCTGGGATTTGTGAGCGCATTTAAGCCTGATTAGCAGGCTGCCAGCCCCAGGCACGAGCGGCCAGTGCCCAGCTTCACCCTGGCACCCCCCGCCATGTGGTGGCTTCACTCAGGACCTTAATGCTGCTGTGACCGCACCGGGAGAGGATTACTTGGTATCAAAACCAACTTGAGTGGGAATTGTCCTGCTTCCCAGCCAGCAAACCCATGACCGTAACAGTGGCTGGTGCTTGGGCAATGCTGGGGTACCCAGACCCACATCCCGCATCCCATTTCCCATTGCCCAGGTGCTGGCAGCTCACCAGTTTGCGCTGGGCAGTGATCAGATCTCCCAGCACAGCATCCATAATGCAGTCAGCCACGGCGGAGGTGACAGACAGCTTGATTTCACTGGGAGCAGGGAAAAGGGTGTCAGGGTCACCACCCATAGCCCTGCAAGCCACAGGGCCAGCCCCTCACTGACAGCCTTGTTGGGTGGATACACCCAGAGGGGCACCCAGGGTAACACCATCGGCTCCTGCTTGCTGGGATCAGGAATGGGAGCAGACACTGTCTGGGATGAAGAATGCAAGTGCATCCCCTCATTAATGGTCAGGGCTCCCCTTTGCCAGCCATGGGGGTGTGCCTGCAGGAACATCATCCCATGGGACTTCCCTAGGGAACGCTGAACCAGATCCAAGCGGGAAGCAAAGCCACAGCTGGAAAAACATAGCAGCAGGACCCAGCACACCATCACATAAGGAAGGGAGCGGTTGGTACCGAGCTCCTCAAATCCTAATCTAAACCAGTGTGTGAGAGCCAGCCACCGAGTGAGAATGAAGAACAGCACATCACCCACTTCAGCTTGCTGAAGACATCAGTGACCATTTGGTCCAGGACAGTGCTGAGGTTGAGGTGGTCCTGGAGGTGGATCCTCTCTGACATGGCATTGACCAGCTGGTCCCTGACTCTGCTCTTCTGCACCACGGCTGGGCACAGGCTGTGCGCTGTGTCCAGCACCGCCTGCATGATTGCCTGGAGTTTGGGGAGGAAAGGAGAGGTTTTGGTATCTTTTCTATCAGGATTTATGTGGAGATGCTCTGTCCCTTATCCTTGGGCTGAGGACAGGGATCCATCCCGTGCTGTTGGCAGCTCCCTGTGGGTTCCCACCTGGATTTCCCGGCCGCAGGTCTGTGATGCCTCCTCCGTGAGACACTCCAGCTTGTGCTGTAGCTTGCTGTTCTGGTATGGGCTATTTCCTGCTTCATACAAGAGGGGCAGGATCTGCCATGGGAAGAGAGAGACAGTGTGGATCATCCCATGCCACTTCACCCTTGCTTTCCATCTTTTCATGCGCAGCCCATATCCGTGGTTGCCCCACAGAAGAACATTGTCTGCAACAACCGGGGAGCCCCAGAGACCTAGTATGTGGGTCAGGGTTGGGCATCATGGCCCCTCGTGGTCCCTGTGTACCCCCAGCTGGACCTTCAGCTGCTCCCCACTACCCACTGACCTTCAGCCCCTTCATGCAGCCATGCTGCTGCCCACATCAGGGGAGACTCTTTCTCATCCCTTTCACCACCTTTCCACCATCAGTACTGTCCTCTTAAATCCTATCATCTCCACTGGATTAAGTACCCAGTGGGGTGCCAAAAGAGTTGGGAAACAAGAAAAGGAGGTGGTTTGAAGAGAGGCACAGGAGGCAAAGGTGTGATGGGAAGAGAGAGGAGGAACCAGGAGGATCAGCACCAGGAGCTGCCCAGCCAATGCAGTGGCCTTCATCATGGGCTGATAAAGCATCCTCATCACTGGACTGCACTCATCTAGGGCAGGATGAGGGTGTCCAAGGAGCATCCCCTTGGGGATGTGGGGAGAGTATTTCACCAGTATGGGCATCTGTGGGTTTTGGGGTGTCCCAAAGCTGGAGCACCCGCCTCTCCTATGGAGGGTGCATGAACAGGGTGGGGGGCTCTTGCTGAAGAGGGGCTGCACTTGTAAACCCCAATCCCATGGGGTGTATGCAACCGTATCCCCCTGGGGGAAGGCAATGAAGGACATACTGGGCCTTGTTCTTGAAGGGGACTCAGAAGTTCACAGCTTGCACTTGGTGATGTGTGTCTGGGGCATTGAGCGTCTTGGTGCTCCCTGGCTGGTGGTTAATTGTGTCATTAACTAATTGATATCCCGCTTTGATCCCACATGGAAGCCGGGTTTGCTGTGAGGTTTCCACTGCAGCAGACTCACACTGACGGAGAGGTTGGCATTCCTGATGGCCTCCTCAGCAGAGAGGATGTCCTCCTCCACCTCCCTTCCTACGCACACGCTGAGCATGTCCACATGCTTCTGCACGCTCAGGCAGGTCTCATTCACCATCTGGAGTGCAGAGAGGCTGTGTCATGGCCCAGAGCAGCACTGCCGCCTCCCTTCCTCACCATCACTTTCCCAGAGGATGTAGTGATGGGGCAGTAGGGGCATAGGCAGACTGCAGCCCCCCAGAGCACCCTTGCCTAATAACTAGGGATGCCATATGGCCCCAAGCAAACCTGCTCGGAAGAGGGGGTGAGGATGCCCTTCTGCGGCCATGAGGTGCACACAGGGAGCGGGTGCCGGAGCTGGTTCCTTGTGAGGCAGGACTGGAGCTGCAGCAGGAAGGAGGCCATGAGCAGTGGGTGTTGGGGCACCCAGCCCCATGTCCCCCAGTCCATGTCCCCTACCTTGTGCACCGCCTGCTCGGTCTTCTCGGGGTGGCTGCGGTACGCCTGTGCCACGTCACTCATTGGCAAGGGCATGTATTTGAGGGTGTAGTTCCTGTAGGAGAGGAGCCTCATGTGGCCATGGGGAGCCTCCATCAGCCTCATGGGGCTCATCCCCACAGTACATGTCCCCACAGACGTAACACTGCACCCAAAAGCAGCCCAGACATTGCCCCATGGTCCAGCCCTGGAGATGGATTGGGTGATGGGTTGCCACCACAAACCCCAACAGGGCAGCGGTGACCACCGGCCCAGGTTCTCCATCCATCCCTCTTTATTTGCACCTTCAGAGTACTTGCATGGCCAAACACCAGATCTGATGGTATACTGGGCAGGTGGACAACCTCTACCCATCTTTCATGCACAGGGAGGAGGGGAGCATCACATCTTCACCGACAGCAGATCCCCCATGCTTGCTGAGGATTGCCTTGTCTGCTGGGTTAGGATGCAGAGCCATGGGAGACCCTGAGGTGGGTAATGAAGGTGTCATCACCAAATTGGTGGCAGGTTGCTTTGCTGGCTGCAAGGCCAAAGCTGTGGACCAATTCCCTTGGGACCTGTACACTGCATGATGCTGCTTCGAGGGGACAAAAGGCCCTGTGGATGGTGACACCCTGGTGCCATAGGGTCTTTTGCATGGTGGTACAAAACATGAGGACCAAGCGGCTCCTTCTTTACCTCTCCAAAGCTTGAGCCACCTCCAGGAGCCCATGGGCAGTTGTGTTGTTCCTGTCCCAAACCACAGTCCTGTAAAGAGAAGGAGCTGAGTGAGCCCTGCCTGCACCCACAGAGCCCCAAGGAGGGTGCCCATCCATGGATGAGCCAGGAATAGCGAGCCCAAGGCTGACTCCAGGCACCAGAAAGCCTAGAAATGGGTTAAAAATCTGAACCTTGATACGCAAAACCTAAACTTGGACTTTGGAAGGGGCTGTAAAACTACCTGAGCTTTGTGTTGATCTGCAGGGCCTTGGCTAGCATCTTAGCCCCTGTGTCCCCCATGGCGTTGCCGCTGATGTCCAGAGCGATGAGGCTTGTGTTACTGCCCAGGGCACTCAGCAGGACATTGGTTCCCAGCTTGAGGCGTGATTCGGCCACCGAAAGAGACTGGAGGGGCTAGAAAGGGGACAAGGAAGGGGAGAGGTGGCCAGGGCACACCAGGACATGTCTCCCTGGCAGACACAGACAGCATCCCTGTCTGACAGCCACTGCAGGCACCTGAAGCTGGATTTGGAGAGCCCAAGTCACACTGAACCCCAAGGAAGAGGATAGTGATGGGTGCTGAGGCAACCCCCTGGATTTAGCTCAGATCCCTGGCAGGCAGCAAGGAGGAAAGAGGTATTTTTGGGGAAGCTGGGCTGCAGCCAGGTTACACCAAGCATCTCCTCTGTTCCTTCAGCCAGACACAGGCTCCCGCTTCCCCAGATGAACAGGAACTGCTCTCGCTTCCCTGTCTGAGCATCTGCTTCAGACCCAGGAGAATAAGAGCAGAAGGATTTGAATGGCAGCAGGAGGGAGGTGGGTTTGCTCTCAGCCTGTGGGAGGAGGGATCCGGACAGCACCAGGGCACAGAGAATGGGGTGATTGAGGACAAGCTGGACTTACGCAGTCGTCCTCCTGGGTGAGCTGGACAATGCGGTGCAGGACATCCAACAGCCCTTCCCTGTGGGAGAAGCAAGGTGCGGTTACACACGCATCTCCCCACATCCCCCCAACCACAGGGGAGCAGGCAGAGCTCCATCCTCTCCTCCTCTGGCTCCAAGGCTGTGACCTGTCCCTGTCATCCCATGAGAACTGTGCCAGGAGCAGGAGATGCAGGCCCCGGACTCCCCACTGGTTTGGAGCAGGCAGGACCATGATCCCTGGCATTCCCAACCAGCCCATGGGCAGAGAGAGTCAAGGTGGGTGTAGGGTGCCCGGATGGCTCCTGGCCCTTGTGCTCTGTGCAGCTTTGTGCTTACTTGGATTTGATGTTGAAGTTTTTCCCCAGAGACACGTGCCTGATGGACTTGCTTCTGCCGATGGAGAGCACCAGCGTCACCATGTCGGGGTCAAAGCCTGTGAGACATGGGAGAAACCCACCAGGATGTTCCAAGCAGTTCACAGGGGTGGCACCAAGGTGGTCCCTTGTAGGAGACCCACAGAGCCATCAAGACTCACACAGAATCATGACTGTCGCTCCTGCACAGAGCTGATCTACTGGGAAGGCAACAAATAGAAGTGTATTTTGGCAAGGGTTGGATGGAGATTGTGGGTACAAGAGCAAGCTCTTGGAGCACTGTTGGTGTGAACAGGTTTTTGAAGGACTCTAAACTTTAGTGTTCCTAGAGCAATCTGGTTGTTGAGCTGCATGGTCTGCTTTAAGGTTTGGGGCCTTTCAGATTAGGAGCTGGTAGAGGTGATATTTGTGATTAGGATTGCTCATCCATGGTTTTGAAGGCCATGATAGGACAAGGTTATCAGCAGAGGCTGCAAACGCCTGCAGAGTAGTGGGAAGAGCTTCATAGAATCCCAGACTGGTTTGTGTTGGAAGAGACCTTAAAGCTCATCCAGTTCCAACCCCCTGCCCCAGATAGAGACACCTTCCCCTAAACCAGGGCCACCACCACCACTCCCCACATGGGATGCAGCCCTAGAAAGTGGTGGAAGAGGCTTCGCGTGCTGGGAAGGACATCAGCAGAGGAAGAAGCACACGTGTTAGTACTGCCTGCCTTGGGGAAGGTTGGTTTTGGGAGTAAAAACCATAAAAGCCTGGTGAGGTGGTGATTTCTCAGGCACGAACCCACTGCTGGCCACTGGGTGCCTTGATCCCCATGAGACACAGCCTGCAGTGGTGCAGCTTCTGCTGTGGAAAGATGTCCACAGGTGATAAGTGCAGTTTAATGCCGCATTAGCCAGTGCTGTCAAGAGGCAAGGAGTGCAGCAGACCCTACCCATCTCCCTGGGGACTTCTACAAGCCCACAAGATGCCTCCGGGGCTGGGCTGGTCCATGGTGGCTGAACCTGCTGATGGAGGGGATCTTCCCCCAGGTGGGGATGAAGCAACCTACCGTTGTCAGACAAGTCCAGGTCACTGATGGAGCTGGTGACTGGGATGAGATCCTGGATGACTTGTGCCCCCGCTGATCTCAGCTTGGGAGAAACAGCAAGGTATCAGTACAAGGGGAAGTGGAAGCCCTGCAAATGGGATCCTGCCATCGGGAAGGTCACCCCAGCCCTACGGCAAACAGGCGCGTGGAGTTCCCCACACAGGGAGCAACCTCCTTGAGCACCACAATAGGACCCCCAGATAGGCTATGGGTGCTGGCTGTCACCTCGCAGTTGCTGAGATCCAGGTGCAGGTCACTGATGTGGCTGTTGTCCGCCAGCCCTTGCAGCAGTGCCCTGGAAAAACCACCAAAGCCACCCCTCAGTGCAAGCAACAGAGGCGTCAGCACCGGAGGTGGGAGCGGGTACTGGAGAAGACATCATAGAATCAACCAGGTTGGAAAAGACCTTCAAGATCATCAAATCCAGCTGCTCCCTAACACTACCAAGGCCGTCACTGAACCATGGCACTGAGGGCCCCGTCTACACGGTGTGTGAACCCTTCAGGGATGGTGACTCCAGCACTGCCCTGGGCAGCCTGTTCCAATGCCTGAGCACCCTCTGGGAGAAGGAACTGTTCCTAATCTCCAGTGTAAAACTCTCCTGGAGCATTGTTCCCAGAGCTCTGCCTTTCACTGCCTCATCCATGCTCCTCACCAGCCCTCTTAACATGCAAAGCCCTGAGTGTGCTCCCTCTGCACGACCATGCTCACCCTGAACCTGTTCCCCTTCGTGGACCCATAGTCCCCTCTCACCTTACAGCATCTGCTGGCAGCTTGGTGCCAGCCAGGGAGACGTGCCTGAGGGCGCAGGCCTGGCTGAAAAACTCCTTGATGCCAGAGGAGGTGGCTTTCACCTTTCTGAAAAGGATGGGCACAGAGTGGCATCATCTGCCATCTGGCACCCACCTGGGTACCACGGTCCCCTCCCTCCCGTCCCAGGGCCTTACCTGTGGGAATACATGTTTTTGGAGAGATCCAGATGGGTGAGGCTGGTGTGGCATCCATGAACCAGGGCTCCAAAGAGCTGCCAGGGTGGGGATGTAACTTGTGTTGAGGAGGGCCCAGCCCCTCACACAGCCCAGGAATGGTGTGGGGTAAGCTATCAGGGATCCTAAGGGGGTCTGCCCCATGCTGGGGCTCCCCTCTTTCTCCTGCTGAGCCCCAAGACCCCCAACCTGCCCATGGCAGTTGGCACAAAGTGGGAGATCATTGGGCTGCTGCCCACGCACGCTGTAACCACAGCCCTGTGCCGAACAGTATGGGGTGGCAGCACCTCCAGCAGCACAGCATGGATTTGGGGACGGATCACTGCTGGGACCCTCTCCATAGGTACTCACAGTGTCCAAGGGGCAGTCCGTGCTGGCCAGGCTGAGGTGGGACAGCGAGTGGCACTGGTGAAGGAGGGTCTGCAGTTTCTGTCGGCAGAGAGGGGTCAGTGGCTTTGCCCAGGACTCTGAATCCCCCTCCATCACCCTGCAGCCCATAAATCCCATCTGCAGCCTGCCCTCTCCCTCCTGCAGAGCACAGGGATGAATCTGGCAGGGGGGGACCCAGCCCCACACTGCTCACATCCTGGCTCCATCTACCACTCTCCCACAAGGAGATGCAGCAGGATGTCCCCAGTACATCCCCTGCTGCTCCGGGGTGGGCAAGGAGGTGATGCAAATGTGAGTTCCCCATCCCTTGGGTGCTGAAAGGCAGGATAAAGACCCAGGAGACTGAAGCCATCCAAACCGTGCTGGGGACATAGCCCTGACCATGTCATCCCATCACACCACTCACACTGGTGTCATCCCCAGCCAGGGAGCCAGGGTTTCCAGAAAGGTCCAAGTGCCGGAGGGAGGATCCGATAGCTTTGTTATCTGCGAGGGCCTTGCATAACACGCTCATCCCTGCTTGAGGAGAGGAGGAGAGATGAATGCCCACGAGTCCTCTGCAATGGGGAGAGCCGTGGAGCAAAGGAACAGGCACTTCCCTACATCAAGACATTGCATCCCTGAAGATGCCCTTTCCAGTGTGTCCCCACAGCCCCTTTAACCACCCCTTTGGTGCCAGCTTCACCTCAACTGCTGCCATGCCCAGCCTTCCACCAGCATGCTGGCACTGAGTGGGATGCTGGGTGCTACCTTTGGCAGTGAGCATGGTCCTGGCCAAGCTGAGGCTCTGCAGACCCTTGGGACACCTCTTCACGTGCTGGCTGAAGGCAGCGATCCCTATGAAAGAGCAGAGAGCCCTGAGGTGGGTGTGCGTCCCATTCTAAGCTACAGCCTCAGGGCAGGGGTAACTGCTGCTGGGATCCAGACTTGAGCACCAGTTTTCATGGTGAGGTTTAGACTGGGTGTTAGGTACAATTCCTTCCCCAAAGAGTGCTCAGGCATTGGAACAGGCTGCTCAGGGCAGTGGTGGAGTCACCATCCCTGGAAGCGTTCACACACCGTGTAGATGGGGCCCTCAGTGCCATGGTTCAGTGGTGGCCTTGGCAGTGCTGGGGAACGGTTGGACTTGATGACCTTAAAGGTCTTTTCCAACCTGGCTGATGCTGTGATTCTAAGTTGGGTACCTCTGTCTTCCAGCTGGTTTCCATCAAGGTTAATGGTGTGCAGGACAGAGTCGGGATGGTTGCTGAGTGCCTGGGCCATCCTCTGTGCAAAGTCCCTGTGGGAAGAAAGGTCACCCATCTGACCAAGGTACAGCCACCTCCAGGACACATGGCCAACAACCCTGCATCTTCTGGGGACGTGCCATCAGCTCCTGCCCCCATGGCAGAACCATCTCCACCTGGGCAGCCAGCAGAGCATCTCCAAGGGTGGGTGATGTTTGCTGGCCTCCAGGGTCTCTGCACCCAGTGAGCATGCTTTGGAGGGGATAGATACCAACACCCCCCTAGCACAGAGGTCCATGGACCTCTCTGCTCCATGCACACGAGGGGACCACCTCCAGGCTGCCAAGACCCTGCTCATCCACCCTGCACGCTTTTGCTTACGCTTTCAATCCGCTGTTTTCCAGCACCAGCTCCTCCAGCGTCACAGATCTGCTGAGCATGTAGAGCAGCTGCTCCGAGATCTCCTGGTTCTGGCAGGGGACAACGGAACCCTTGTGGAAACCTGGACACCTCCAGCGTGCCCCAAGCCACAGCGTTGGCACTTACCAGCCTGAAGTCCTTGCAGGAGAGCTTGGTGAACCACAGGTTGAAGGACAAAGCAGCCACGCTCAGAGCCATGTCTCTGCAGGGTGACAAGGACAAGGGAGTCAGGGACAGGTTGGGATAAGCCTGGTCCCAAATGGGTGCCCCAAGATACCCAACCTCAGGATGGCCAAATACAGTGTTCAACAGGGCAGGACTGGGGGCCCACAGTTTGGGGGTTAAAACAACCCACAAACATAGCTCAGCTTCTCCAAATTATTCTCTCAGGAAGAATAAAATAAACTGTTTTCATGCCTCTGGCCTTTTTAATTGTGTGTAAAGAACAATAAAGGTCTTGCTCGCGTGGAAACAAGTTTCTTTTTGACTTCCTGGTCCAAAGAAACCTCTAAAACCATCTCCTTCTGGCTAGCTGAACACAGATCCTGTTTCCCAAAATACCCAGCAGTTGCCTTCTCACAGAGCTGGGCCCTTGCTTCATCTTTCTTGGGATGGAGATGTGGCTGAGAGCTCCATGGGGACCACACTGGCATCGCCTGAACTCATGGCTCTGCTGTAAGATTATCTGTTATCTATTTTGTTAAAACTATAAAGCTGTATCAGTATGAGATTGTAGCAGATGTCTGGGGTGCTGGGGGTGAGCAGCACTGACTGCTTTGCATATGGAAACCCCTGACAGCCACGAGTGGTGAGAAGCTGCCGGGTCTTCTGGGTTTCACCTCCACAAGCAGCCCATGGGCTTATTTAAATGTTAAAAATGAATAGCGATGCTGCCCAGCCACCTGGGACCATAGCCCCATGGGATGGGGCTCACCACGTTTGGTGTGGGGCAGCATCAGCCTGCAGATGGGGTGTCTAAAGTGAACAAAGCTTCTCTCATGAGCAGAGGAGGGTGTTGGGCACCGCTGTCATGGGTAGGGAGGATGAGGACAAGTGCTGGCGTGGCATGGGGTCCATGGGCAGCACAGAAGGGCACTCACCGGCTCTCCAGGTGGCTGAAGTCCAGCAGGTTGAACTCTCGGCAGTCCTGGCTGTGGTAGATGTTGTCCACGTCCTGCTCAGATGGATGGACACATGGATCAGGCTCAGCACAGGACCCTGGGGAGGGCTTGTGTGCCCAGTGTCACTGGAGGGATCTGAGCCATTGGGGATCCTCCCCCGGGAGCCCCTTGCATAAAGCCTGAGCCTAACCCCAGCCTGGTGCTGTTGCTGGCAGGGCATGTGCCCCAGGCAGGTGGCATGGCTTGGTGGGTGCTGGACCACTCTGCAGTGACTGGACAGCAGAACGCAAAGCACCCTCAAGCTGGTGGGAATGGGGTGTGGGGAGAGGTGGGCTGGAGTCAGTGTCCCAGAGGAAGTGGAGGACCTGCCGTGGCATGGTCCCAGAGGGGTTCTCCTCTGCTAGGGACACACAGCAAGGCCACAGGTTTCCAGGGCCCTCCTTAAGTGACAGTCTGGGAAACAACTTGGTCCAAAGCATCTTATTCCCACTTGCACTTTGATTCCACCCCACTGAGGATCAGAGGTAACTCAAGCCAGGCAAACTGCATGAGGCTGCTGAATGGAGGCACCCATGGGATCTGCGTCCCTGCCCACCAAGTGACACACAGCAACCAGCTCTTCTCCATGGGGCAGAGGAGCTTACCCACTGGATCTCCTCGCGGAAAGCAAAGCCATTGTAATCACACAGGGCAGCGTAGGTCTCCGAGAACCCCCCTGCAGAGAGAAGACAGTTTGGTGGCAGACCTTCCCACGGGAGCATGGAGACCCTTGGGAGGAGCATGAAACAGAGGAGGGATGGTGGGAGCTCTCCCTTCCCTCCTCAAAGAGACCAGAGTGTCCTGTGGGGTCTACTGACAGCCCAAAAGTGACTCCACAGCCCAGGGGGCTGTATCCTGCTTTCCTTGATCTGTGTAGATAGCAGGCAAGATGCATTGCTGTGATGACAATGGAGGTACCTTACTTCATACCAAGCTCCAGGAAAAGCCTCTGGGTCTGCAGCCATGCTGTATAAGATAGGTGAAGCATCAACAGCTGCATGTCCTCGGGGGTGGGCACCAAGCAGCCTTGCCTCACAGCCATCGTGCTCCTCTCTGGGGAGCTACATCCCCTCAATCCTGCTCCTGCCACATAGGATGGGGTGGTGGGGCCAGACCCCACTACCAGGGCTCCTTCTAACCTAAGCCACCATGGATGCCTTGCCAGCAGAGCTCATGTTGATGAGCATTGAGCTGTGATGGTCCTCAGTGTGTTATAACATGGGGAGGTGCTGGGGGCTCACCACAGGGTGCAGGGCTGCTCTGCAGCATCTCCTCCAGGGAGTCCGTGATCCGCCGGATCCTCTCGTACAGATTGGGTGGGGAGTTCTTGAGCAGTGTCCTGGGGAAGGACCAGGGGGGTGTGTGATGGTTGGCGGGGAGAAGAGCATCCCCACAGCTTTATGCTTAGCTACAGCCCTTGTGTATAGAGTGGTCAGAAACATCCTTCTGGATATGATCGGGGAGCAGGGTCTGGCCTTCACCAGGGGGTGTTTCTGCCATTAAAAGGGGCTAGTTTGAACCCATCAACAGGCTGAGAAAGTTGGGTCTGACCAGCCTGGAGAAGAGAAGCTGCATGGAGATCTCATAGCAGCCTTCCAGTATCTGAAAGGGGCCTATAGGGATGCTGGGGATGGACTCTTCTTCAGCAAGTATAGTGATCGGACAAGGGGCTGTGGGTTCAAACTCATACAGGGAAAATTCAGGTTAGATATAACCTGTGACACAGGTTAGATATATTCCCTGTGAGGGTGCTGAGGCCCTGGCACAGGGTGCCCAGAGAAGTGGTGAATGCTCCATCCCTGGCAGTGTTCAAGGCCAGGTTGGATGGTGCTTGCTGACATGGTCTACACTGAGGAGTCCCTGCCCATGGAAGGGGGTTAGAACTGGGTGATCTTTAGGTCCCTTCCAACCCAAACCACTTTATGATGCTATGATCCTGTGACACCCTACATGGGGCTTTCTGAGCAAAGAAGTTGCTCTGGTACCTGCACAGGTACCCTTGAGGAGTAGAAGACCCTTACCCAGGAGATGAGTCTGGAAAGACCTTCTTAAGAGACATGGTGACATGGATGACAAGTTGCTCCAGATCACCAGAGGACATGAACCGGAAGGCATGAGGTGCTGTATCTGTTTCTATGACAACCTGCAGGGTGCAAAGGGTGGGAGATGCCCAAGTGAGCTGGCACCACCGTGTCCCCAAGCCCCCAGACACAGCAGTGGCAGCCACCAGCTCCTTGCTGCAAACACCCAGGCGCTGCTTATAAACCCCACCTGAGCACTGTGAGCACAGGGGAGGCTGCAAGCACCAAGAATTTAAGATAAAATACATCAAAGAGATCAAAATGTGCTTCAATAAGGCAGAAACCTCCCTCCAAATTCAAGCGAAGCTGATGCAGCAGCAGCCTGAGGCAGCAGGGTGAGAACAGCCTTGACCCTGCCTCAGCCGGAGGACAGAGGTTTCCTCCCTGAATTTGTCTAATTGGGGGTTGATACTTTTTTAGTTCCTACCAGGAAAAAAATCCCATGGCAACACGTTCCCTGATTTAATTACAATCTGATTGAGGTGTGGGAACAGGATGAGTTATCTGCTGGCATCGCTGGAGGATGGAGCTGCCACCACTGCCCGGGGCTCTGCCTGCAGGGTGAAAACCCCTGTGCTCCCCATAGCCCAGCCAACCGGTTCACCCCATCCACCCTGGGCTCTCACCCCCAGCACCCCTTTATTTCTCCCCTGGAGCTCAGCCATGCAGCAGAAACCCCTGTTTGGAGGCTGGGGCCATGGGTGCCCCTGAGGCTTTAATGAGCAGAACACAGACAAGGGGTTAAGGAGGACCACGGCCCTGTTTTGGCTGACACATCCAAGCCAGGGCATCCCATTCCTCTCCTGCACAGTTCCCACACACTGCTCCTGCCTCCTGCTCACGCCCCCTCCTAAGAGGATTACTGGGATTTAAAACACCCTCCTGCTAAATTTGTCTTCGCCTCTGTAAGCCAGCAGCTGCCTGTCACCTTGTCCCTGCTGAGCCGAGGTGCCACGGCCAGGCACGATCTGCTGCAGGGGAACAGGCACCCATGCTCACCCCCGCATTGTGAGTGCCTCCCTGCACCTCCAGCCCTGAGGTGGTACCCAGGGCAAGGCCATACGGGGTTTTCTTTAGGGGTGCCTCAGAGATAAATACCCTGTGGGGATCTCACAGGTCATCACTGGTGACCCTTGATGTGCAATGGGGGGACAGGACAGCTCCAGGCCCCACAGTGGGCTCCAGGTCAGGGTTTGCCATGGGTTTGTCCCAGTGTTTGGTGCCACTCACCAAGCTGGGATCTTGCAGTGTCATCTCCCTCACCTCCAGGAAGCTGAAGCTGCTGTGAACCTGTGGGTGAGAGGAGCAGCACTGGATCAGGCAGTGATGGAGAAGGGGGATCCAACAGCGCGCCTCAGCTCTCACCCTTCACCATGGCCTGAGGAGTGCCTGGCCATGCCCCCTCCCCAGCCTTTTCCAGCCCTCTTCCCCTTCACCCCATCCTCATCCTCATCCAGGGGGCTTCCCAGACCCCATGGGTACCCCAGGCAATGCCCTCCTGGGAGCCACTCATCACTTACCCTCACTGGCAGTGTCACTGACAGCACATAGGCTCGCCAGGGCGTCAGCACCTAGGCAGGGGATACCAGTGTGACATTGGAGTCACAAGAGACAGTGGTGACACAGGAGCCACCCCTGTCCCCTGCTGCAGCCGTGGGATGGCTGGGGTCTGGTCTGGGGAAACTTGGGAAGCAGGAGCCAGGCCAGACTCTGCACATACCAAGATGTAGTCGTCATACTTGGATTTCACCTGCAGCTGGACGCTCATCACCAGGAGCACCTCCTTTGTCCCCAGGAAGGTGGCGATGCCCTCTAAGAAGATCAATGTCTGCATGAAGTGATGGGACACCCCTGTTCCTCTCCTGCCAGCCCTGCTGTCCCTGGGGACACCATCCCTGCATCCCCACCTCAACCAACCCCTCTCTACCCACACCTGATGGTTGCTCTCCCAGCTAAGCCACACTGCACACTGGGTTTGGGTCTTGTTTACCACCCAGGTGATAAATCCACCTCCCTGTCATCTTCTGCAGCCATGACCAAGCACAAGGCTTTGGGGCCACTGGTTTACACTCACATGTTGCCTTGCTTACTGGGAGTTGGTGCTGAGCAACGGGAGGACCCCGGATTCTCTTTCTTCCTTCCCAAATGTACCACTGGGGAGCAACTCTGCACCCAAGTGCTTCCTCCCCACAGTGCACCCAGGGATCTATTCTGCATCTCCAGTCTTTGAAGATGCAACCTGCACAGGTGGTCATGGTACCAACCTCTCCATACCTACAAACCAGTCACTGTGGACCAGTGTGAGTATTGCTTGCTGCCTCTTCTCATTCCCAGCTGAGAAAAGGGACCGTAACCATAACTGCCCATCACCATCAAAGCAACAGGTTTTCCTGACACTGAGCCCCCGTGTTCAGTGGCTTGAGCTGCACATCCCAGGAACACGCCATGGTGAAGCTGGATGATGGGGATGCAGCTACCTGGCTCCTTCCTACCCCTTGTTGGAGCTGATGAGGCCGCAGAACCCCAAGAGCTTTTGTTTTTTCAATCAGAGGAGAGAATGCCAGGAGCAAGGGTACTTTACACCTCTCCTGTGCTGCTGGGGAGCGGAGGCTGTGCCTCCCCGGGGAGCTGGACCCACCAACACAACAGCTTCAGCTGTGCAGAACCACGTCCTCGAGGAGCCAGGGATGTTCCTCTAGGGATACTTCTGGCCCAAGGACCATCCTCAACACGAGCTCTGAGGACAACAGCAGCCCTTGTGCCCCACACCCTGCCTGGACCCCCCTGAACCACAGCTGGTGATGATGAGGAAGCGGAAAGCACCTCTGCCACCCTCATCACAGCAAACCTGGGCTGCGGAGGCCCCGTATGACACTGCCCACGTTCACAATGCCCTGCAGCAGCGATGATTTACCTCGGATCTCGGTGGGGATGGCTCTGTGGGACGCGGCCATGGCTCGGTCGGGGTGTGGGTGATGCGGGGCTCCTGGCAGCATCCCTGGGCGCTGTGGGGAAGGCGCCGGCTGGGAGGAAGCACGGAGGTGCCTCCTCCCCCTCCCCACGCTCACTCAGTGCCTCTTCCTGCCCCGTCAGAGGAGATTTGCCGCCTGAGCAAAGAAGCAAAGTGAAAGCGACGGTGCCCGCAGCCACCGGCATCGTCTCCCAGCCCTTCTCCCCAGTGCAGCTTCACCCGGGAGCAGGACACCCCACTGCTGCCTCCCAGCCAGGAGACCAGCATCTCCCCGTGGTGCCACCTTCAACAGTTCCAGGTCCATGGCCTGTCCCTGTCCTGCAGCCCCATGAGGTGGTGCTGCCTGAAGGGTGAAAACGGTGTGACAAGAGCTGCTCTACCCTTCCCAGCCCAGCCCCACCGTCTCACACCAGGAATAGGCAATGGGAGACCACCCCTGGCACTGTTCAAGGCCAGGTTGGATGGGGCTTGGAGCAACCTGGTCTAATGCAAGGTGTCCCTGGCAGGGAGCTGGAACTGGATGAGCTTTAAGGTCCTTTGCAGTCTGGGGTTCTATGATGAGGATGGGTGCTGGTGCCCACTGCAGGCACGGCTTCTCCACAGCAGGAATGACTCAAGTGTCATGTCAAAATGACAAAGCTGCTGCTCCAAAGCAAACACAAGAGGGCAAAGACTTGGTGGCCTCCTTGGAGCAAGCACATCAACCACCCTGCTGCCACTCTGGACCAGGCCAAAGCCAGCAGCACTCCAGGGTGGAGCAGAAAGCTGTCCTGTGCCCCATGCAGGGCTTCACTGGACCCAGTGCTTCTCTGCCCTGCCAGACTCAGGAAGCTGCTGGGGGGCGGCAGCAGAGCTGCTCTCAGCATTTTTCTGAAGTCTTCCTGCTGCTGCTGAAGCCCTTCCTAATAGAGACACTGTTCTTCCATCCTTCATCTGCTTCTCCAAGTCCAGCTCCATCTGAGCCTTTGGTTCAGTCAGCTCCATCCTTGCACGCTCATGCAACGTCTGCTCCTTCAGAGCAGCCTGTTTCCCCCCTTCTCCTTTCTGCTGGTTTCGTTTTCCTCTTCCTGCTCATCCACCTGGTTGCCTACCACGCTTGCCTGAATTCCTGCTGAAGACCTCCTTAGGTTTTGCATACCTCCCTAAGATGTCCCTGATACACAGCTGCCTTCTCTTCACCTGGAGACTCAGTTGCTGCAGTGATGTGAAGGCAAAGTAGTAGAAGATGTTAGTTTTCCTGCAGTGAAGCAGAAGAAAGCATGCTATGGGTGGCACCAGCAAAACCTCTGTCTGACACTGGCTGAAGAAGCAGTCTTGGACCTCTGTTCAGTGACATGGAAGGAGCGGGTCTTTCTAACATGGGGGAGCTCACAACCTCTGGAAGCCAAACGAGCCTCTGGCAGGTTGCAGCAGTCAGTCAGAGCTTGCTTCAGCCCCCAACCCATTCTGATGCCATTCTCCAGCACAACCTCAGGAGAGCAGCTCAAGCACCGGAGGTGGCAGCCAGGCCAAGCCATCAGCTGAGGCAGCAGTGCTCCCTCGATCCACAATAGCCCTGGCTTTTCCGTCATGGTCTAGGACACAGCTTTTCCACCACTGGGCTTGAGCACGGATGTTCTGTCCACATAAACGTTCAGGAATGAGATGCTGCCCTGTATCCGCATCCTCAGGAGCAGGCTGGGACGCTGCTCTGCATCTCTCCACAGCAGCTCCACCAAGGGCAAACCAGAAGCCTGTAGAAGGCACAAAGGCACAGATACTGCCCACAGGTAAGCCCAAATCAAATAAAAACCAGGCTCCATAGCAGGACTATTGACTGAGCAAGCATCAAGAAACCAGGCCAACTGAGCAGACCACCAAGTAACACACCAGGCTGAGCAGAAGACGACGATGGCCACAAGGTGAGTGCTCCAATCCCCACTGATCCTTTGCTGGGTCTCTGAAGAAGGTTCAAAAAGCAGTCCATCATAAAAAGCTGCTTAGAAATGGTTTCTTCCAGTGGCACAAGAGAAGCCACCAGTGGTCCCCTTTGGAGATCAGCCTCTTCCTAGGCCTGCTGCAGCAGTGGGTTGTGCTTGGCAGGGCAGGAGCTGCCAAGGTCTACAACACACCACCAGCGGACCAAAGACTACTTGAAAGCAACCACAGCTGTGGTCCTTGGACAAACAGGCCTCTCAGGCTCTCTTTCTTTTAGCCCACCATCTCTCTGAATACTGAGAGCTGAAAACACAAGCCCTGGATTCACTTAGACTTCGGTACAACAGTACTAGTTGCTCTGCTGTCTTGCACCAGTACTCAGTGCAGACCATGAGACCAGGTCAGAGCATGTGTGACACCTCTTTGGGACACCATCACAGGTCACCAGTTAAAAAGCCAAAGCAAAGACCCTGCAGCATCCTTCATGCCCCACTTGCCAGTGGTGGGCTGAGCCACGGTGTTTAAGAGATGATGGTGACACTGCTGGAGATCCGAGGACACCTTTAGTTCTGCAGCTCACCACAAAGCCTCCCTAGCTCTAAAAATACCCAAACCCACATCTCCTTCAGAGCACCGCCTGCCTGAAGCACCTCTGGGCTCTGAGTACACAAGGGCCTTGTGCACACGAGAAAGCACACGAGGATTTATCCTTCCTTGCAGAAGCAGCCCTGACCTTTCCCTCACCCACCTGCTGAAACAGGATCCCAGGCACCCACCTCCAGGCAGCTTTTCTTGGCGAGGTCAAGAACCATCCCTCAGGAACACAGAATGGTTTGAACTGGAAGGGACCTCAAAGCTCATCCAGCTCCAACCCCTGCCACAGGCAGGGACATCTTCCACTAGAGCAGGTTGCTCCAAGCCCCTGTGTCCAACCTGGCCTTGAGCACTGCGAGGGATGGGGCAGCCACAGCTTCTCTGGGCACCCTGTGCCAGGGCCTCAGCACCCTCACAGGGAAGAGCTTCTGCCTAAGAGCTCAGCTCAGTGTCCCCTCTGTCAGGTTAAAGCCATTCCCCCTTGTCCTGTCCCTACAGGCCCTTGTCCAAAGCCCCTTTCCAGGTTTCCTGTAGCCCTATTACAGCAGCTCCTAGTGCCTAAGGTCTGCCCAGAGCTTTCTTTTCTCCAGGCTGAACAACCCCCAGTCTATGTATACAGAATTAAATACATAGAGTCGTGCACACACACAGCTAGTAACATGTACCACAGCCTCACACAGGTGCGGGGCAACCCGCTCTAGTTCTCACATTTTTAGTGAAAGTTTAGCAACTCTAGTGCTTTTTACGATTTCATTTTAATGGTTTTAAGTCATACTGTGCCATCTTCAGCAACTCCTGTTCTGAAGCCAGCAGTACAAGAGGTAATACCCCGAACTTAACAGTGTATAGGTACCCAACTGCTTACTCTCAGCTGCTTTCCCAGGTAACTAAGAAGATACAACACAGAAACTGCATCTAAGTATCTATCCAGAACGAAACGGAAGTAACATTCCTGCTATTTAAACCATCAGCTGCACATAAGCAAAAGGAAGAGCAACAAGAACTTCCATACCATTTCCAGCTCAAGCTACAAACGCTGACATTTTACACCACCTTTCCACTATAAACTCCTTCACACAGCCCCAGCTGAGCAAGCTCAGCTCTCTCTACCGCTACGCAACAGAGATAGTGTAAGGAACAGGGACCATGCCCTGGCTTCACCACAGCCCTGACACTTGATTATGTGTATGCTGGCCTGTGGTGGTGACAGAAGAGCTGCTTGGTTCCCTGCTCAAAGAATGCGGCTTTGCATTCTGGAGACCACTGCCAGGTCACCCTGAACAGATACAAAGAAAGCAGGCAGTGAGCACACCTGTTAATCCATTATCATTTATTAGCTGTACAGCAGTATATTTTCCTTCCCAGCTTTCAAACCCCATTACATATTTTATAACAGTATTTTTTATTCCCCATGTTGGCTTCCTAAAATAATGAAAAATATCACACAGTACAGCTAAGTACAAAAATGCATCAACCTAGAGTCTGATAGCTAAACTGATAGCTCTCTTGAAAGCGATACATAGAAGAAAAATTTGTTTGAAATCAGCAAGACTGAGGCTCTATAAAAAGCTTACATATTTTAACATGTGACGGTTCATATACAGGCATCATTTGTATTTCACATTATTCCTTTTTGTCTTTACCAAGAGATCCAAAATTGTGGAATTACTGACCTATTAAAATTCCTTGGCCCAGGTTTGGAGGGCTGCAGTGACCCACTTAGAAATCACCACTTCTGCCTTAACACAGGATTCATAAACACAAAATACAACTACAAGACAGAACAAAGAAAATGTAGTTGTGAAATCGTAACTCAAAAAGGTGGTTAATTACCCATGTTCCAAATGTCACTTCTGTGTGCTTCAAAACCAGATTTCAGGTGTGGGTTTCTCTTGATCTGCAAGCAATAGTCTGGGTATGTCTCTTCTCTACACGACTGGTTATCAACAGCTTTTCCAACATTTACACTCTATCCATTTGTCTTGTCGTTTAGTTTGAAAAGAATACTGGTGTTTATTTAAACTGCATTTTTGCATACCTCTTAATTAATGGAAAAAGGTTAAAATGTAAAAAAAAGTTATTTACAAGCTTGACCATTACAGAAATGCTTTGCAGAAAGCAAAGCACAGTAAGGACAGAAACCAGTTGGAGCATGCCAAAACTACTGTGTGCAGCTGACTTGGGGAACCGGAGATAGTCAGTGGGGAAAAGCAAAAAACATTTTAGAAGTCTAGAACCCTCCCAAGTCTGCATTTACAGTCAAAAACACTACGGAGAGAAAGATGCTCAAGGACTCTGGGAACTGGAAGGGCAAGTCCGGAGTAGTTCACCATGTACTCTAGTCAAGACTTCTGCTTTTTTGTATGTAACCATGTAACCACGGCCCCTGGACCAGCTTTACAATGCAGTTCAGAGCAAAACTAAATCAAGCATCTCACAGTAAATCCTCAAGGACTCCAAAGTATTTGCTAACGTTCCATGATCCTGTAATGCTAACATAAAACAGCAACTTCTAGTTAAATCACATTCTAATATAACTTTGAACTTTTTATTTCCCAGTATGTTTGGTAAAATGGTCTAAACTGGTGCATTTCCCAAAGCCAAGAAAAAAGATAAAACGAAAAAATAGATTTGAGCCGCTTAAA